TGGCCAGAAGAGCGACGGAGACGGATCTTGCCGTAGTTTCTATTAACATGGGGAGTTTTCGTCGCGGTTGATGGCAGTATGACACATTCCCATGTTGGCGAAGCGTTTGCGTCTGTCCATCAAAGCGTGATAGTAGCCGCCATGAAAAAATAATCTGCGATAAAATATGATATTAGAGTAGGTTTTATGTTATAAGAGCTTCGAAGACAGGTGACCCAGGACGATATAGATTCGATCCTGCGCCGCGTTCCTTGGATACCGTTCGTCAGTCAAACTGACCAACAGAGCATATGACGAATGCTTAAATGTTATCCACTGTCCAAATTATGAGTAGACAAGTTAGCCTGGGTTAGGATTTATCTTCTCCCATCCCGAGGTATATGAAATTGAATTTAAAACATAAAAAAAATTATTATTGTGAGTTATTTTTGTGGTCGATGTTTATTTATTGCCCCATTTATTATTATAGGTAAGATTTTGTTGTCGATAAGGATTCGCCGATATTTATTTATTTATTACTCAATATTAGTAAGATTTGTTGGTGGATGTGTAGTTATTTATTTATTTAATAGGAATTATTTGTGAAGTTTGTTTTTATTAGGGTTAGTAACCCTAATGCTACAGTTTTCTGAGGGGATTAGTAAGTAAGTAGTACTGAAGCTCGAACGGTGGAACGTCAAATTCGACGACGACGACGCGATGAATTCTGTCGAAGACTTCAATGCGCGCGGAACGAGGTCCTGCGCGCTTTTCACCTGCTCATGACTGGCCGTGCCCGCGAATGGTATTGGATGCACGTGCGGCATTCTATGGTTGAAAGCTGGATGGAACTGCGGCATGCTCTCTTCGACAGGTTCCGCGGCTATCAGACGGAACATGATGGGATGCAGGAGCTACTACAACGAATGCAGCAGACCAGCGAAGGGGTGATTTATTACATCCACCACATGCGTCAGCTCTCAGCACGATTCCAGAATCCGCTGAGATTGGATGTACTCACCGTGGATGAGCTGCGCCAAGAGTGCATAGAAGTGGAGAGGCACATTGTCGCAGAAGCCGGACTGGGTACTTGCAGCCGTCGCGTTACTCGCAACGAACAGAGCCGACAGTTCACGAGGTTAAAGCAGGAAATCTGGAACTGTAGGCAATTCGACTATGTATATAGAGACTGCCTGTCTAAAGAGCGGAAGATGTTCTGGTATACGTGCGGAAAGCCAGAAACATCCTTTTCGCATACGCGCACTGCAGTCTACGCGCCACAGAGCAATGCAGGCGAGTGAGTTAATCGTACCGTGTTGTCGGCAATCACGGCGTGTCTGGAGCAAGATCATCGCGAGTGGGACCTTTACCTTCTAGATAGAAGTGTCCATACGCAATGCCATACACACAGCGACAGGGGTGACTCCATTCTTTGCCGTTTTCGGACTTCACATGTTCCTAAACGGGGCATGCTACAAATTTGCTCGTAGGTTGAGGTCTCTGGATGATCATGAGATTTCTCAATTGCACCCAGCAAACAAAATACACCTTATAAGACAGCGTGTCCAAAGCCAGCTACAGCAAGCTTATGAAAGGAGTTATCGGCAGTACCCGGCCAAGAAGTCTACAGACGCAACTTTGTACTGAGCGATTTGGGGAAGCCTTTAATACTAAATTTGCAAAGAAATTCCTAAAGGCCAGATTAGTGCGTCGAGTAGGAAACAACTCGTACTTACTAGAAGACTTGCAAGAGAAGCCTCTATGAGAGTTTCTTGCGAAGGACATACGGGTGTAGATGAAGGTCGTGGTGTGCCTCATGTTTGAGGAAAGCGGTAGGCCGGCCAGGCTGGGCGCAGACAAAGGCAGGAAATCAGACCTCGAACCCATTGCTCCCAATGTTCTTGTCAGCGACTTTGCGTCGTTGGGAACCCTTGGGTGATGTTGCATGGGGAGTCGCTAGTAGTTATCGATACATCGGTGAGAGCCCTAAGAACCTTAGAGCGTCCCAAATTTCGCACGGGTGGCAACGTCGGGCTTGCGATCCACGACGCTGAAAGGGGAACGAAAATGGGCGACAGCTATTGGCCACCCGATTTGCTCCTAAAGAGATTAGAAGAAGAGCAGATCGCAGCCCTTAGCAATGCTCTTGGCTTTTATCTGGGCCGTTGACCCTTAAATGCAGCTGTGCATATGGGAAGCAACGGTGACCACCTATGATGTTGCTGCCCAAATGTACAGCCCGGGAGTCAATTTTTAGAGGCGGTATAATACGGTCGGGTTTTGCGCAACCGTTTTATAATTTCCGGCCAACGAAACGCATGTTAAGACTATAAATATCATATCTGTCGAGACCTGCATTTAAACGTCTGGGAAAATTCGCAAGCGTAGTACGTCCCTTATCGTATTATATATATAATACACACGAATATATAATCTCATGGCGGAACATTAAATGAAAACTTTGTGTCGTGCACAAAAAATATATTGCTCAGCCCAGCTTCAAAATTATCAGTGGCTGGTAGGACTTCAATAACAATATAAATAGCCAGTGTAAAATTAGTTGTACCGAGGTACAGATGTTTAAACTTTAAACATACATAAATGAAATTGAATTTAAAACATAAAAAAAATTATTATTGTGAGTTATTCTTGTGGTCGATGTTTATTTATTGCCCTATTTATTATTGTAGGTAAGATTTTGTTGTCGATAAGGATTCGCCGATATTTATTTATTTATTACTCAATATTAGTAAGATTTGTTGGTGGATGTGTAGTTATTTATTTATTTAATAGGAATTATTTGTGAAGTTTGTTTTTATTAGGGTTAGTAACCCTAATGCTACAGTTTTCTGAGGGGATTAGTAAGTAAGTAGTAGCTGAAGCTCGAACGGTGGAACGTCAAATTCGACGACGACGACGCGATGAATTCTGTCGAAGACTTCAATGCGCGCGGAACGAGGTCCTGCGCGCTTTTCACCTGCTCATGACTGGCCGTGCCCGCGAATGGTATTGGATGCACGTGCGGCATTCTATGGTTGAAAGCTGGATGGAACTGCGGCATGCTCTCTTCGACAGGTTCCGCGGCTATCACACGGAACATGATGGGATGCAGGAGCTACTACAACGAATGCAACAGACCAGCGAAGGGGTGATTATTACATCCACCACATGCGTCAGCAATCAGCACGAAGTGGAGAGGCACATTGGTCGCAGCATTTAAAAGTTTTTGGACTTGCTGTTCACGCATACTTGCGTATTTTTTAAATGCACACATGCCAATGCTTAGGTACCCTTTTCAACAATAACGAGCTAAAATAAAAGAATTTCGCATCGACTTGGCAAACCCTTTCATTATTTCATATTACTCGTCCCCTCAAAAGGGAAGAAATGCCACCGACTTTTGACAAAAATTGAATTTGTGGGCATTTAAACGGTACCTAGACATAAAGAGTGATTGAGAGCACTGAGAGTAAGTGCGAGCGAGATAAAAATAAACAGCGATGCCGTTCTATCGCACAAATCATATGGAAGAAAGTAAGCCAAAGCAGTTTCCTGTAGTGGGAGCGAGATAAAAAACAGCGATGCCGTTCTATCGCACAAATCATATGGAAGAGAGTAAGCCAAAGGAGTTTCCTGCAGTGTGAGCGATCAAAAGATGTCATCTGTATATCTTACTCGCTCGTTGGACCAGATTCATATATTTTTTAGTGACCAAAAACTTTCCACTGTTTGTCCCATCTATATGTTTTTTGGTTAGTGGTATTGTGTATGTCTGATTTGATACAGATGGTGTAGTTTGTTGATATCGATTATGCGGACTGTGGGTCAGGGATGGGACTACACCAAGAGAACCGATGAACCAGCCGGCGCGGCCCAAAGAGAAACAAGCAGTAAAGTAACATTTTCATAAATTTTGTGTGTCTTAACCGATCTTACTGATATTATTGTGACCTAGAATCTTATTGTGCTAACATTTTTAGAATTTTCTCAACAAAAAAATGGAGTTACAATTATGGCTTAAATTGGTAGGCTGTTCCAATTTGTTTATCTATTTGATTTATAGCTATGTTATGTAGGCGGGGGGACGCAATAGCTATAAAATGAAATATACTTGATATATGTTTACTATTCAAGAAACTACATGTCCAATTTGGTGACTCTAGCTCTTAAACCTTAGGATATTTGCTCAAAAACAGAATTTCGACATCGATTTTTATCGACTACTTGGAAACAGGGCAAGTTATCGATTATTGGAAATAAACTCGAACTACGCGAAAAGTTATTAAAGAAAACGGTTCTTGGCCACCAATTTATATATACATGTACACACACATTCATGCACGTCTTTAAATTCTATCAACAGCATTGCAATTGCGATTACATTGTTTTCTGTGCTGTATGTGTGTGCTTCTATTTTAATCCGTTTTTTTCTCGTTAAGAATCAATTGTTGGTGTGGCTGTTGAATAGGGGCGGTGGCAAGTAGTGTGGTCTGCTACGAATTCGGGTCCTATTGAGGGAACTATTTTTATACCCTTGCAGAGGATATTATAATTTTGTCGGGAAACGTGAACCGCATAGAAGGAGACATCTCCGACCCCATAAAGTATAAATATTCTTGATCAGTATCAACAGCCGAGTCCAGATATCTACACTAACTATTTTACCAGTGCTCCTTAGATACGGGCAAACCACTATGAGCATTATGAAAAGGTTGGGTCTGCAAGGGTTTGAAATTTGAAATTGCGGATGAATATGAATATTTGGTATATCGAATTTTGAAAATGAATCTTTTGTAGCAATTTGTATGGTCATGACATGACTTAATATGTTAGTCAGTAGGATAAGTTATCAATTTTTTTCTTTCTTCTGTTACAAACAGCGTTTATTCGCAAATCCTGTTATGATACCGTGTATTAATATAGATTTTTTTATAACTAATATTTGTCTGTTTATTTTCAGGGCGAATCAAATGAAGCAAGAATAGAGGTTGCCAATCAAAGAGCCCACCAGCTTTTAAAATAAGGCGATCTCAAGATGACATCTAGAACACCCAAAAATTTTTGTGATGGTATTCAGTGCTTTAAGAAATCCGTTAATTTCTTGAAACTGCTTTGTGCTCCAATAGCTGTAAATATAAACAATTTATGTTTGTTATTATAACACTAAGATCTAGCCTTGTCAAGCAATTGAAGAACAAACATATGTATAAACATTGAAATGCTCAATACCTTAACAATTCACTCATTTCATGAAAATATATATATCTAATGTTTATTTCATATGTTTATTGATAGATAGATTCGATCACCAATGAGCTTGCTTTAAATCTAACTATTTTATATCCCGAACCCATTGAAAATTGTTCATAAGGATATAGTGGTTTTGTGGAAATGTATGTAAAAGGCAGAAGGACGCGTCTCCCGTCCTATAATATCAGGACAACGTGCTAAGTCGACCTATCTGTTTCCGTCTGTGTGAATACGAAGATCTAGGAAACGACCTTAGTGAAATTAAAAATACATATTGGCGTATACCAAATAGCTGTATACACCAAACTTGGAATGCAGGTTCTTGTATAGTATACGCACATTCAAAATATTTCTCGTTTTTTGATAGCTCCCTCATATTTATACCTTAAAGTATTTACAAAAATCGGACTATAAACACCAATAATATTCCAGAATATATTTCCATAGTGTGGAGCAATGTGAACAATAACAGCCGCAGAGTAGACTGCGTGCTTGTGTTTGTTTGTATTGTGTAAACAGGTACATATCTATGAAAAGGTATCTAGCGTTGGATTTAGGGAATCTTTTAGTTGGGCAGTTCCGAAAGGAGTGCTGCTGACTATTTTCAAATAAATGTTATTTGCAAGTAATATAAATCTCTAGATTTTATAGTATCTTAGATAGACAGCTGTTAAGGAAAAAAGGAATATGGCAATATAAGAATGTACACTTGTTGGATTCGGAGAAGCACCCATCTGCCTATTACCAAAGACAATACAAACACTAAGATGAGTAACGCCATACAACAAAATGCTACTACGCAGCTTGATTTTTTGAAAATTAAGAACGAAAACGCTATCAGTATCATTGCGCTCTCACAGCCGAAAGAGCGGAAAGTCTAAAAATAGAATGTACTCTCAGCTTCGGCTCTATGAGGGCCGTGCAAACAATTATGTTTTTATGTGTGTGAATATACATACACAACAACATATTTGAATGTATTGGTTTTTACTGCTCTGGCTTTCGCTGGTAAAGAAATAAATGTTGTTAGTGTTCTACCGCTGATCATGACCTATCCCAAATTTGCATTCACATATGAATGCATGTTGTGTACTGAGGTTGGCTCCGTAGAAAAGCTATATTTTTAAGTCGATGCAAATATTTATATAATTTCTTTAAATTAAATTATTTATTAAATTATTTTAATTTTTAAGTAATAAAAAATAATAAATCATAATTCATATTTATTTATACAAAAATTTATTTGATATAGTCTATTTTTTATTTTTTTGGACTCTTTTATTTCTTCATTGGGGAATAAAAATAATAATAAATAATTAATAGTTTAATTTCAAGAAATTATTTAAATATTAGCATCGACTTAAAAATACAGATTTTCTACCGAGCATACCTCAGTACACAATATGCATTCATATGTGAATGCAAATTTGGGATAGGTCATGATCAGCGCTAGAAAACTAACAAAATTAATTTCTTGCCAGCAAAAGACAGAGCAGTGAATAACAACACATACATATATAAATATTTTGATGTGTGTACTTATGAATGCATAATTCACGCATACAAACATATGTATGTAGGTGCCAAAAACAAAAGTAAAATCAATCTATGTGTGCTATTTTGTGAACATAGTTATCGCACAAGATGCGCTTTGTGAAAAAATTATTTTATTCCTAAATTTTCCTGTAAAATTTATCGTTAGTATCTAGCGTAATGTATCATTTAAATAAAGCATGCACTTCACGGATATGCGTCGATCGTAGGTATACAACTTTTTCGCTCAATGTACTTCGAAAATGAAACGACGTAAAGCGACTAACTTTGTTTTCATGTCACCATCAGGAAGCCGCGCCTTCGGTATTCATTCGTCTAGCTTTTGGAGAGCGAACAGCCTACGGCTAGCATGAAAGACCAGATGAGAAGCCAGACTAGAAATTTTACGTCGCATTCAGATGTATGGGCGTTAATCATCTTAGTGTTTATATTGTCTCTGATATTACTTATATTTATGTAACTTCATTGTGTGTGTACATTTTTTACTAATTAAAGAACGTTATATTATTTTTTTTCGATCGATTTAATTGATGTAATATCATCAGACAATATACTTAAATATCTGACTGCGGATTCTTGAATTAAATATATTTAGGTTGTATTAAAATTTATTTTAATTAATTTTAGTTTTGAATGCACATTAATTCACTCAATTATTTTGAAACTGTCGCCAATTTTCATTTATTTTATTTTGTTATGTTACTATGTAGAGGTTATAAATAATTGTCAATTGTTTGCAATTAATTAAACATAATAGGCCTGTAGTTATATTTATTGATTAATATTGTGTAAGCCAAATACTACAAATTTAAACGAATGTATATTAAAAATGTAACACATATTGGTGTTCACTTATCATCGCAGCGTTGCATATTTGGAAGTCTGCAATACCCCGCGACAGCACCTTCACTGAAAAATTTTTTGGACCTAGACTATAATATTTGTTGTTGTTATAAATGTTTATTGTATTAAATCAAAATTAGCATACATTTTTGTTACAACACAGTTGGCTTAGGTGATATTTCGCCAAGCCTGGTTGTTAAACTGGTCATAAACTATAAATATCATGGCAAAGCTGCAACACTAGAGATGCAAAACACAGGAAAAATCCTATTACCTCAATTGATATTTGATAAATTAAGGTATGTTTTAGTGCTAAAATTGAGGAAACACCTGCTGTATCTGTGCGAAATTAATCTACAGATGCCAAAAACATGAAAATATGCAAGTAAATAACATGACGGGCTTTACACACCTTTAACAAGTTTAATTTGAAGAATAGGTCTGATTTCTGTCACTCCCGTAATGTAATTCTCAAATCAGCAATTTAAACTGACATTCAATATACAATCAGAATTTTTCACAAAAAAAAAACAATTTATTTGCTGTTCACTTTGAAGGTATTGCAGCCTTAAAAAGCTTCAACGTCAAGTAAACACCCATTGTATAAACACCCAAGAATACAGACCATTTAAGGGACGGTTTTTCAATACTAAACAAAGGATTTTATAGTACTTAAGATTTATGTAGAAATGTCATTTTGAATTCACAGATATTTCCATATTTCCAGATGTCGTTGTTAACATTTTTTGCTCACTATAAAATGTTATCGAAATCATCTAACTATATGACTATTAGAACATGTTAATAATTTCGAAAGTAAAATAAATTATCGTTCAAACATAATATATTGTTTAATAAAGTGATTATAAGTAACAACGTTAGAATAAGAGTCAAAAATTAATCGGCGGATGCTGGAATTTAATTAAAAATAATAGTGTGATCCCTGAAACTGATTCAGATTTCGTTGATCAGCTGTGCAAAAAATGTAATTCCGTAGCTCTAACGGACAGAGTTATGCTAAAAGGTAAAAATTGTCATTACTCTTGTCCCCTAATCTGCAGCTGCTGATATCCGGCTGGCATGTTATTTAGTGGGTCTTGGCGGCCAAATGCTTGTCGCGCTCTTCCAAGATGCTCAGCTTAACACCCTTGACCTTTGGCAGCGAGATGTAAAGGTTGTTGCCCTAGTCAATGATGAGCAAACACATGACCTTGCGAATCCTTCATGTGCACAATATCGAAGGAGCCGGGATGACGCTCACGGCTAACAAGCAATAAAGCTTGAGTTGTATAGGAGTATACGACTCAAATATTCTATGGGATCAAACATGTTCGCATCATATTAGTTGAAAAGTATTTGTTATCAAAGGACAATTAGCCAATTGAAATTGGCCGCATTGACTTACCAAATAAATTCCAATTGCCTTAGATGCATTCTCAGTTTTAGGCATTAAGCGCTCTTAATTATTATTGAGGGCGTCATGACAATTACTACACCATTTATGCTGCTTAAGCCTTCAAGTAACAGTTCATATTATCTCTGGTAGTGATATTTAAAATATATTCATAGTTGTCGATGGCAATATTTATGATTGCAACAAAGTGTTCCAATGTGCATACATGACAGCTCACTCAGTTACTGTTTCGATTGTTCAAGTCTGCGCCATGTTGCATGGGGAGTCGCTAAGGTTTATCGATATATCGGTGCGGGCCCTAAGAACCTTAGAGCACCCCAAATTTTGCAGGGGTGGCAACGCCTAGCTCAGGATCCACTTCTTTGAGCGAAAAAAAAGGTGGGAGAGCATAGCATTCGCTCCTGATGAGATTATAAGGAGAGCGGATCGGATGCCCTTCCTAATGCCCTTGGCCTACAACAAGGCCGTTGACCTAAAAATGCAGCTGTGCATATGGGCAGCAACGGTGACCACATTTGAATGTATGCGTATACCGAATTTCGGCATCTATGATGTTGCTGCCCAAATGTACATCCGAGGAGTACAATTTTGTCAGCGGTCAATGGCGGTCATGCCGTGCTCGAAAAATGTTAAAGCTTTTCTTTTTTTTACGTTGGCCCCGTGCAAAAAGTACTCAACAAAAAAATTCTAACCGACCAACTAAGCCGACGCGCACTAGTAAAAATAACGAAGAATTTATTTGCTGATTAATAATGATACTTCAATTCAAGCATTCTGCTGAGATATAGAAAAAATTAAAAAAAACTTTAAACTTACATGCGACACGTGACGAACAAATAAAAGATAAGACAATAAATAAAAGAAACGACGCACGGTTCCGGCAACGAAGGGACCAGCTCTCGGACCAGAGAGGCCAACAGCTTAACACCCTGTCCAGGTTTCGGCTCAGCGGTGCACGTCAGCCATACCCTCGGCGCACTTATCACCGACGCTATCTAGAAGGATAGTCTAATAAGCGGCTACTTGTGAGACCACATCCACACCATCCGAGTGAGTCAGTTCCATGTCGTTCTTCCCCGAGTAGCAGGCAGAGTCAGACGCAGACTCAAGTTCGAATCCTCTGACTGAGAAAAGATTTTTGCAGTTATTAAATGTAGTTTTTTTTTGGTTCATTACATATGTACTCACGACTAGTTTCACTTAAGAAAAATTCCTAAAGTGCGAACAGTGAAGGAGAGGCCCAAGGTCATTGCGTCTGTCAAATAAATAAAAAAAAATATCAGATTTTTGTTAACTTGTGCACGAACGATACCCACGTATATGTATATGTCGCATCGTTATTATTATTTTAATATTTTCATTTTATTATTATTATTTTCATTTGTTCAATTAAATTCCATCACTACTATTTAAGTACGATCTCTAATGAAATGTATCATCGCTAATGAAAGAAGTCCAAAACAGACGATGTTGAGCGTTTTCTCTATGTCCGTTATTCTCTTCCTTTATCCTCTTTCTACTTGCCATTTCTGCCTCAAAATAACACGTGGTTTTGCGAGCCCAACAGAGTTGTCTGTTTTGCGTAGCCTCAGCCCGACAGTGCATTAGCGCGAGAGAAATATAGTCTTTGACTCGGAGACGTCAGGAAGACATGTGCCAATACTGTACGTATTGTGCGAGTATAATTGTGAAATTGCAGTCAGTCGAAAATTAAAGCTGAAGCAAAGAATGTCAATTTCGAGGAAACGTAAGGCTGGCGCAACGATGGTGGAAGCGCATGAGGATGAGCTTAAAGAAAACCATTATCCGACATCAGAAATGGGATCAACTAACAAGCCAAGCCAAGCCATTTCCGACGACCGTTTGTGCACACTTTTGGAGATGCAGCATCGCAATCTGATCGAAGTTATAAATGCTGTTAAAGGCGCACAGTCAATGCCAGGTGAAAAAAAGGCAGTTGTACTACCAAAGTTTAATCCCGACTCTGTTGGTGCAAGTGCAGCTGCTTGCAGAAAACCCTTTGGATGGCAGTGCTCTGCTCATTGCGTAAAGTAAATCACTAGAAAGTAGCGCTTCTAACTGGCTGCCACAAATTTGTTTTTCTGGAATGACATGGGACGAGTTTAAGGAATTGCTTTTGCAACAATTCGAAGGCAAAGAAACTCCAGCAGCTAATGTTATTAATGTTCTCAATGGTAGTCTAAAAGACAGCGAGTGCCTTTCTCTGTATAGAAGTCGATTAATAACGACACTTATGGCAAAATGGAAGTCAATGACTATTGAACAAATCGCCGTATCCGTTGTTCTGGCGCATGCTGCCCAAGTCGATACTAAACTGCAACGTACGGTTTTTACTACCAACATTAAAACACGTAACGAGTTGCAAAATGAGCTGCGGGCATTTGCTTTTGGTAAAAAGAAAGAGCGTCCTGTTGAGGAAAATTCTGCAGGCAAAAGACAGCGTATGCACGCACCCGTAAGATGTCAATTCTGCGGAAAATAGGCCACAAATTTGCTGACTGCCGTTCGAGAAAAAACAACGTTTCGCCCCAGCAGGGATCTAATCCAAATTCTAGACGTTCATCTGAAGGAAAGAGTAGAGTAATTACTTGCTACAAGTGTGGAGCTCCTGGACATATTGCATCGGCTTGCACTGGACGACAGGAATCAACCACTCAAAATAAACTGGATGAGAAACGTGTAAATTGGTACTCTGATCTCATCTGGTGAGTCATTTCCATTTTGCTTTGATTCAGGAGCCGAGTGCTCACTTGTAAAGGAATCTGCGTCTCAGCGACTCTCGGGAACACGAATCAATAATATTGTAGTTTTAAAGGGTATTGGTAACAATGCAGTAACAAGCACTTTACAAATTATGTCAAATGTCATTATCAGTGGATTCTCTTGAAGTTATATTTCATGTAGTTCTTAATAGTTACATTGATTATGATATTATAATTGGCCTGAAATTGTAACTCCCAATTTTGGCGTAAAGATAACAATTAATACGCCGAAAATGCTTTTTCGTAAAATCCAAAGAAACAGTAAAGCTTGATGTCTTCCAGTTGTCCTAGGTCCTTTAGGTGGTCTGTAGTGAATCATGTGCAAAGTACGTATGTAAATTCGTAGATAATTGCATAACTTGCAAACTCCATCTTGAATGTTGCCAATCGAACTTCACCCCAAATCGAAGGTAGACATTCCATGGCATACGATTCATGTGGATATCACTGGTAAATTAAGCGGTAAAAAGGATTAAAAGGAGTATATTATAGTTCAAATAGACGCATTTACTAAATTTGTTTTCCTTTACCACACCATAAATATTAATAGCGAACGTTGTATAGACGCTGTAAGGTTAGCAATGTCGGTATTTGGCGTACCAACACGAATCATTGCAAATCAGGGTAGATCTTTTACTGGAACAAGTTTTAATGAGTTTTGTTCTACACAAAAAATAGAAAAACACTTGATAGCAACAGGCGCTTGTTAAAACGCATGTTAACCGCTGTCGAAAGTAGTCAACGATCTTGGCAAGACGCCTTATGCGAAATACAGTTGGCCATAAATTATACAATAAATCGTATAACTAAATCTAGTCCTCTAGAATTTCCATTGGAAATGAAGCGAGGTCATTTAATATGTTACCTATAGTCGAAGACGACAATAAAGTTGATATAAGTTTTGTAGGGAAAATGGCAAAAGAAAACATAAGTAAGTACGCTATATATGACAAAGAACGGTTTGACAAAAACAAAGCAATATTTAATAGATTTAAAGTTGGCGATTATGTTTTGCTTAGGAACGAGGAGACACATCAAACAAAGTAAAATCAAAAGTTTAAGGGTCCATTCCTGGTGGCAGAGATACGAGAAGGAGATCGACATGTTTTGAAGTCCTTAGTAAATAAGCGAACTTACAGGTACTCGCATGAAGCTCTGAAAAGTATGCCAAAAGAAGAGATTCCCAAAGAACTGGACATGTGTGATGAAAGATTCAACGTTGACGATACATTGGTTGACTTGAATGAGAATGAAGATGTTGAAAGAGACGTCATAGACGAGTTGGTGGATTCCAAATAGTAAGGGGCATTGATGGACTTCAATGCGGTATGCTAGACACCAGACCTTTGGATAAAGCCGTCATGTTGGGTTGCCAGCGCAAATGG